ACGTCTCATACGTCTGAAACGAAAGAGTTAAAATTATATATATTATCAATCATGAAATAAAAAAATTTCAATTTTTACCTCGTATTTCGATCTTGATCACGTATCTTCTTTTCCATTTCTGCGTCTGTTAATGTCTCTAGAAACGGTGCCCATTGATCAGCTTCCGAAGGTGGCCTAAAAGGTACTTCGACCGTGGGCAGAGGTGCTTCAGAAAATGCATAAGTTCTTTGGTGCCATGATAACTGTCCACGTACACTGAAATTAATCGAGATATGTATATTTTATATTAGTATATAATCAAATGTACGAGCATATCTAGTTTTGCCTACCTATAGGCAATGGCAGTGACAAATTCGCCGCCAAGTCCTAATTCGGCACAAAGCTTCATCGCAAACTTCTCGGGGTTATTTTCTTTCTCAGACATATCCCATTCTACTTGATCAACTAAAGACGTGTTGCCTACGTGTATATTTAATTTAATTATAACTCGTTGATCACATTGATCTTCTAAAATTGTTTCCTGAGGGAAAGCTTCGATCTGTTGCCTTATAGCTTGTGCGATCGCTGGTACAAAGGTAAGTGGATTTAAATCCAAGTCGTCGCATAATACTTCAGCGAACTGTTCAGGAGTTATCAGACTTTCTGAAATGAAATTTGTTCATAAATATATGACAACAGAAGTTTGTTTGACGTAATTTGTGTATTACATAAATATACCATTTTTGTTCCACGTAAAGGTGTCTCGTAGCTTTTGTCCTTCGATTTCCATGTCTAAGCGAATTGGCACTAACATTTCTTGTTGTGCTGCATTCTCCAAATTTGCCGATGGGTCTGTGTCATCAAAACTGAAAAAATGAGTGAATACATATGCATCATGTACATAATTTTATATTAATAAGAAACAAAGAAATAAGTATAAAAATATTTACCATAATGGGAATGTCCTAACTTTCTTATTATGTACCCTGTTACGATTTATTGGTGTAGCTTGTGGTACAGCGTCTAAGTGTGAACTGTTTGGCAAGCTAGGTACCCAAGGCATTGATTTCTTTGATTTTCCTTCTCTTGGGGCCGGAGGTTCAGTCGAGTGTACTGACACAGCTTTATATTTATCATCATTTCCTTCGATAATATCTTCTACTTCACTAGCTCTCAAAAGTGATACACTAGATGCAAGTACATGTTGACTTAAACCAAGTTCTACTAATTTTTTACGTTCATCGTTCGTAATGGATCTCCTGAACATTCCAGGATAACGTTTGTATAATGAACCTCGGAACAGGCGCAAATAATTGCCCACTTCTGATCCAATGCAATAATATTCTCCATTTTCCTCCACTTGGAAGCTTATAGGTTTGTCACCGTATGTACGTAAAGCCATGTTCAAATATTTCTACAAACACATGTAATACAAATATCTAATTATTAGGAAAAAGTGTAAAAATAATTTGTAAACAAGTAGCAATAGCAGAAGTGTATACGTAAGAAATTTAGTATACTGGAATTTATCAAAATAAAACTAATTAGCCAATAACCTGCTGCTCTAATTCGTGTTACAATAATCTGCACAATATTGTATACTGACAGTAACTACTATTATTATTATTGCTTACATTATTTACGTACCTGTTTGCCGGTTACTTATTACTATTCTTCTGTCAATGTTTTATTAGCATTCTCGTATACGCGGCACGAAGCGTTTTGTTTGTATCCTACAATCTGCGATTTGATATTGATTATTTCTTAGCGAATGTTTAGCGGAAATGATATACTTGAGAACATTAATATAAAATAAAATCTTACCTTGAAGAAAAAACATCCAACTGTTCAAACAGCTCGGTGGAACTGGTGGAACGCAAAGTGGAACTACGTTATTTTTACAAGAAAATCCTAAGCCACGTTCTAAAGGTGTTCATGTTCATACATACACGTATACACAGACAAGCTTGCATGGTGATATAGCACACCAACACAAATCTGTTCTCTGTTTACAAAGTTATACCAATATGTTGTTAATACAACAATGATATAACTCTTGCGAACTCGTTAGTGAAAGATTCATTAAATAATCAATTTCTATAGAAAAATGTAACAAGTCAGTAACAAATAATACACTCATTTATTTGCATATCAACCCTAGGGAATCATGTTACTTTTCCCCTACTAATTATTTCGGAATGTGGTACCAAGTTAGCAGGGGTTGAGAATAATAAACGCTAGGCGTGTCGGCGTCTGTTTTTTAATACTTTGACGGAGGTCTGCGTTAAAAACAGTTAAAAAAGGAATTCTGTTACGGTACATTAATGGTACAAGATCTGAATAAAAAATATACATATTCTTTATCTTAAAATGTGGATGCAGCGACTAATCTCGAGCTCGAAGAATGCTGCACAATATTCATGTTGCACCACTTTATAGCTTGACAAAATATCAATTTTACGACTGATACATTTTACGTACATGTGCTTGGTGTTCGATTACGAGTGGAAGAGGGTATGTTCTTATGGGGTAACAGCAGGGCGGTAGCCTTTCCCGGGGAATGGAGACGGAGAGCGTAAAATCGGGGGCTAGCGAGCATAGCCATAGCCATCATAGCAGGACTTCTCAAAAACATCATCGAACACACAGTTCTAAGTCTCATCATAGGCAGCACTCTCACAGGAGTAATAGGTATTTCAACTTATTGAAAAAGATGTATAATTTATTTTCAATTTTTTATTACAATGCGAATATATTTTTTAAAGGACAAGCCGTAGCCAGAAGAAAGAGAGGCACAATTTAGATTCTACAGAAATGGCACCTTTTCAAACAACCGTCAATGTAAGAGGAGATAGTGTTGACAATTTGGGTCAAGAAGTCATAGAAGTACAAATTTTGCCTCAGGATGAAAATTGGGGTGAAAATACTACAGCTGTCACTGGGAATACTTCTGATAGATCAGAGTCGACTGAAGATGTCAGTCATTGGCCAAATGACAATGATGGCTCGTTTAGTTCCTGTAATCGCTTTATGGGACCCATTATAGCAATTATACTTGGGCTAAGCGCTTTCCTTAGTCCTATAACTATGGTCATATTGCCTAAACTAGGATTTTTTCCTGACACCACGTCTGTTTTAACTATGCAACAGAAACTGCAATTGTTATCTTGTAACGCTGAATGTAAAGGCCAATTGCTGGGCTTAGCCTTTAAATTGGTGCTGTTAGGTATTGGAAGTTGGGCTGTGTTTTTACGATCAAGAAATGCTACTATGCCACGTATATTCTTATTCAGAGCAGGAGTGTTGCTTCTTACTACATTATGCATCTGTACTTACTGGTTATTTTATGTTGTTCAGGTAAGTAATTTTACTACATTTCAAAATCTTTCGTTAACATATATGTAATATCGTAAACGTTACAGGTTACTGAGAGTGCTAAGACTGTTGCTAATGGAGAAATAACAGAGTACAAAAACTTAGTAAATTATGCAGGTACTCTAGCGGATACTCTACTGTTTATACATTACATCGCAGTATTGTTGATTGAAATTCGTCATCAACAACCAATGTTTTATCTTAAAGTATGTTTAATTATTTTATATTTTATATTGATTTTCAGTACATAATTCTTACATGATAATGCTAATTCTTCAGGTGGTAAGATCACCAGATGGTGAATCAAGATCTTATGCAATTGGTCAATTATCAATACAACGAGCAGCGGTGTGGGTACTAGAAAGGTACTACACAGAATTTCCTATTTATAATCCATACTTAGAAAGGCTTCCAGTATCAAAATCTGGTAGAAAACAATCAAGCTTCAAATTTTACGAAGTGGACGGTGGAGTAACCGGTAGTGTACAGTCGCGAGGAGGTAGCGGCGATAGAACAGTTATATCAACTCAAACTCGTCGTAGAGACTCGAGTCATAACGAACGTTTTTACGAAGAACATGATTACGAACGTAGAGTACGAAAACGTAGAGCTAGATTAATCACTGCCGCCGAGGAAGCCTTTGCGCATATTAAACGTTTACATTCAGAAGTTGAGTCTAACCCGAATCCTGGTCCTATGGATCCTATGGAAGCTGCACAAGCAGTGTTTCCGTCGATGGCAAGAGCTTTACAGAAATACTTAAGGGTTACCCGACAACAACCACGTCATTCTGTCGAGTCCATTCTAAATCGGTTGGCACGATGTTTGGCCCAAGATGCGGCTCCACGCGCATTTTTGGAACCCTTCTTCGTAACCAGCCCCGTTCTTTCAAATGAGAAGGAGAGACAAAAACGATCGCATCATTGGGCCTTAGTTTGTGAGGGAGAATTACCTTCGCGGCCTCTCGCCAACGGTTGCGAATTTCAGTTGCGGCAAGGTGAAGTAGCTCTCTTATGCACAGCATATCATTTGCCACACTTTCATCTCACAGAGCAGCTTGCACATCCCAAATCTAATAAATTCTTGCTAAGATTAAACTCGGAAACGTCGGTTTAGTTACATTACGGAGTAGATTTCCTTTCGTTCAAAGATAATTTGCAAAAGTGTATTTCTAGAACAAAACATTAAAGTTGGATAGTTTTCCATTGTATATAATTGACAAATTTCGTACAGTACATTGAGTACTGTAACAACTATAGGAAGAAATTGATATTGAAGTACGCAGAATTATACGTTTAATAATAGTGAAGTTCTTTTAAGCTATATTTTTCAAGAGATAAAAATTTCTAAAACGACGACATAGTTCTCTCATTAAGAATCGCGAGAAGTGTTCATAATAACATTCACACGTTTGTCTTACTGCATCTGATTGCAAAACAGAGGGACAATATACATAATATTTTATTTATGATTAGGAAGAAAAATAGCTCATGACGAAGACGCACACATATTTATTTATTTCATTATTTTACATATTACCACATATATCTATACATTAGTAAAACAAGCTTGTTATATTTTGGGGTAGCTGTAACCGGGAGATTGGAACCAAAAGTTCCGATGGACAAATAGCTTTTTTAACAGTTACTGTACAATTATCTTTTTGGATAACAGGCGCAGATGTTAAAAGCATAAATGCTTATATACATATCTGATATGTATAAAAAAGAAAGAAGGGGACATTCCTACAGTGCGTTTTTGTAGTATGTGTACCTTTTTGCTCATACAGATGCTTTTTAATGTGTAACATATTTTGACTTGCAGATATAATTCTTTCCACGATACAAAAATTATTAAATCTTTTTATGACAAATTATATATTTAAACCATCAGGAACTCTGAGATTAAAATATTTTATTATTTAAGAATATGGCTAGTTTTAAACTATTTATATGTATTAATGATAACTGGAAACTTTATACCTATTGCGAAAGTATCTCGAATACTTAAAGTATTTCTACAGGTTTTATAAACAGATAATAGATATAGACGAAGCTTGCAGTTGTGATAAAGAATACTCAAATTTCAGAGCGAAATATTTTAATGAATGCACGGCCTTTCATTTCACGAGAGATATATAATGGAATGTGGATCTACCTGTATTGACTAAAATAAATCGAGATATCTGCAATCGGCGTAATTAAATATTCTGTATGGTTACTTGTATATTGCAGCTATGCTTCAAAATTACTGTTGATATTATTATTTTAGTATATACGTATGGTAGTCTTAATACTTGATTACTATAATCAAATATTGATTTCTTTATAGCCAATATATTCAATGCATCTTTAACGCGTATTATCATTTTTCATTATAACTTCATAGATTCAACTACGTTGTTATGTATGCTAATTTTAATTTCTTTTGTACATCTTTTGTTTAACTTTTGTGTTCAATTGTTATTTCACATTTTACTTTAGGAGGCTGATGATACGATTTATAATATTGTCTCTGAGACTGTACTTACTAATTAATTCGTGTACAGTAAATTATGATACTTTATAGTGTCATGTTGAAATATGTATATAAAGTATACATACATATATTATAAATGTATAATGAAATGAGCAGTATAATAATGAAACTTATTGTTACACTGAAAAAGTTCTAACGTTATAATACTCTTATGCGCATTCCTATTTAATATCTAAATGAGGATATCGAGGATTGAAATAATTTGATATATGCGTAAATTTATACATGCCTAAAAATGTATTCGGTGTATCACCATCAAAAGTGCTAAGAATGCATTACTTGCCTATGCTCATAAATTATGTTGTGTAAGATTATAGTACGTTTCAAATCTTCATATTACGTCTATAAATATTCCTTTTAATTTTTACAATTATATAGACATTGCAAGTAGTTTTATGGGACACATCTGTTATTTATGTATGAAGTATGATGATAAACAAAACGTCCATTCATTGAATGGAGTATTAAGTATTGCTTTCGGCTATAATACATTATTTTTCTTAGATTGTACTAAGATATGTATTACTTAGTCATTTAATTTTTGTAAGACATTTGTAAAAAAAAATGGAAAATAGAAAATGATACGCACAAAATGGAATTCTAATTCCATGAAATGTAATAAAAAAAGGTAAAAATAAAATAAAAGATTTTATGAATATTGTTTTTTTTAATTGTATCTATACAAGCATAGAGTCTAATTTTTTATCCTTCTAACTCCGAATAGTAAGAGAGAGAAATTAATCCTTTTTGTGAAAACATTCTTTTAATTATGTACGAAATTAATAATTCCAATTTATGTTTTTATAAATGTATGTACGTACATAAGTACGTGTATTTATTTCACAATTCGTTATTATATCGGCTTCGAATTTAAATGTGATAGTAAAGAAGTGTTAGTGCATCACAATCGCTGTTGATCGTAGTGTGTATGAATCGTACGTCCATCGTACGTCACCGAATTGTTCAGAATTGTTCACGGAGTTACGGGAGTCACGGACGGATGAAAAAGTGATATAAAGGTCCTAATATGGCTAGTGATAAAAAATCAGGCAAGTCTGCGAAAAGCACGAAGTCTACTACAGAAATATTGTCGGAATTTCAAATGCTTCGCAATGAACAAAGGGCGATGGCTAATAAATTGTCAGAAATGGAGATGGGATTAAATGAACACAAGTACGTGTTTCCTAACCTATAGTGGTAATTTCTATCATTTACGAATGTTGTCTCATAATACCGTTTATTGTTTTTAGAACTGTAATTGATACTCTAAAAAATGTAGATCCAAAGAGGAAATGCTATCGAATGACTGGAGGTGTCTTATGTGAATGTATTGTAGAAGACGTAATGCCTGCATTGGTAACAAACAAAGAACAGGTTAGATTTGTTTAATCTTCCACTAGTTAAATGGATTTAT